AAGCTAGGCTTAGTTCAGACTGAAAAGAGCTCAAACCATTTTCACTTGAGAAGAGCCCAAGCCTCAAGTTTCGGCTCGACTCGTTGACATCCCTACTTTGAACCTAGATTTTAAGATTTCTAGTCAACTCAATTGGGTTTCCATTGCATCGATATATTCTTTCATTGGTTTTAGTCCCATTCTCCTTGATGATTTCTCAACTAATTCTCTATTTAACATTTTCGTTGGCGGATCCACAATATAGTCATTTGACCTTACATAGTCAATATAGATAATTCCATTAGAGATGAGATGTCTATGCTATTATGTATTCGGCAAATATGTCTTGACTTATCATTATGCATGTTGCTCCGTGCCTGCCAATTGCAAATTGACTATTACAATGCATGCATATTGCAGGTGCAGGCTTTGACCACCTTGGAATATTATCTAAAAAATGGCGGAGCTATTCTACTTTTTCCTTATAATTATCCAATGCAATAAATTTAGATTACAATGTGGATCTGGTTACAATAGTATGTTTCAAGAATTTCCAAGACACAGTTGCACCTCCCAGTATGAACACATATCCACTAGTAGACCTTAAATCTTTTATGTTTGATATACAATTTGCGTCACTATATCCTTCTATAATAGCTGGATATCTTATATAGTGCAGTCCATAATTATGAGTATGTTTTAGGTACCTTAATACTCTCACAATTGCATGCCAATGGTCAGCTCCAAGATTACTCGTATATCTATTTAGCTTATACTGCATAAACTATATCATGTCTTATACAACTTATTAAGTACATTAGACTACTATTCGCTCTAGATTACTCTATTTGAGAAATATTCTTTCCTTTATTCTTGGATAGATATACATTTATGTCTATTGGTGTTCTGGAAAAACCAGTGTCATCTTTACTAAATTTTTCAAGAATATTTTTGACATAATGTGACTAATTTAAGACAAGCCTATATGATGTTCTAGATATCTATATTCTTAAGACAAAATCAGCCAATCCTATATCTTTGATATCAAATCTTGAATTTAAATTATCTTTCGTAGATTTGATCATCTTATCACTACTGTTAACAATAAGCATGTCATTAACACATAGACAAATAATAATATATCCATTGTTCTGTGTCTTTGATATAAACACATTGTGTTCATTGATTTTAAATTCACTTTCTATCATAGCATTGTTGAATTTTTCATGCTATTATTTTGGTGCTTGTTTTAAATCATACAAGGATTTCATCTGTAAACTTTCTTTTCTTATCCAGGTGCAGTAAAACCTTCATGTTATTCTATGTAGATTTCTTCATCCAAATCTCTATTCTGTACTTCAAGATTACAACATAGGAAAATAAATATCAAAGTGGTCTAAACCTTCTTATCGTCTATAACATATAATTACATTGTCGCCTTCTATTTATCAATTGATCTATTTGATTTCATCTTTCTCTTGAAAATCCACTTGGATCTTAGAGGTTTACAATCAATGGGAAGATCTACAAATTTCAAGTGTGATTTTGTAGTATGGAATCAGTTTCACTCTTAATGGCCTCTTTCGACAAAAGTCCATCAATAGAGCTTGTTGCCTAGCTTATTGCCTCTTTAAAAATTCAAGGTTCACTTTCTAACAGATATGTCAAAAAGTTTGGAATACAAGATTTCTTCTCCCTTAGTCTTTTACTCTATCTAAGTTCATCTTGAACCTCTTCATTTTCTTCGAGCTCTTGGTTCTGATCATTTTCACTAATAGTCACAAATATTTGTTTTGAAGAACTTGGTCTTTCTTTGGACATACAAGGAGATTTATGTCCATAAAATGGTACATTTTTTATTTAACTATTGTGTTATTGTGTAAGTCTAAAATTTTAGACTCACGCATAAGGAACCGATATACACCACTATTATGTGCATAGCCGATAAAAATACAGTCTACTAATTTTGGAACAATTTTCACCTTCTTAGGTGCAGGTACAACCATTTTAGCAAGATATCCTCACATTCATAAGAATTTATCAAAAGGCTTCCTTCCTTTCTATAATTCATATAGAGTCTTAACTTCCTTTTTTCAAGGAACCTTATTTAAAAGTAATAAAATACTTATTACCTTCTCTTGTTTGTATCAATTTTAAATCACGTACGTCACTATGAATTAAATCAAGGGGTTCAGTGGTTTTTTCAAGACTTTTAAAAAATGACTTTGTTAACTTTGCCTCTACACAAGTTTTAGGTTTGTGTTTTGAATCAATTTGGAATGCAGGTATGTGATTCAAGTTAATTAACCTTCTCAATGTATCATAATTAACATGTCATAATCTACCGTGCTATATATTGTATGACTCAAGCAAATAAGTAGAAGAACTAGCATTATTGATATTTTTCTTGATAGACACTACATTGAGCTTTAAAAGCCCATCAAATACATACCAATTACCAATAAAAAGTCCAATCTTGGACAAAACAATTTCACTAGACTCAAAAATCATGTGCAAATCATTCTTGCTAATTTTCGACACGTATATCCCATTATTTAGAATCAACTCTTTCCCAGATGTCATCTTCAGAATCACTTTTCCTCGACCCTTGATCTCAGAAGTAGGAGAATTTTCTATGAAAAATGCTCTCCATTTTTGATTACATCAAGTAAAATGAATAACCCCTTGTCAGAGCATACATGTCGGGTTGCACTAGTGTCAACTACCATTCTTTTAGGTTGAACCCAACTAGTTTCACTCTAGATATCACAGCTGAAAGGCGGTATTAGAAGCATCATGGGCAATGTCATCGACCACATTTTTTTCTTTGTTTCTCTGTTTTTCTTAGGCAGCCTACAGTTGTTTGACTTGTTGCTCGTCTTGTCACAATTGAAGAACTTTCCTTGCAATTTCTTCTTCTTCGAGATTCTATCTTTATGTACCAGCCTGAACCCTTTTTATTTAGCTTCTTCTGCACCTTGGAGCTTTGACCGTCCTCCACAATGTTATCTTTGACCTCATGTTGGTATACCTATCGCTTATCAGATCCTCTATTGTCTTCCTTAATGCGAATTCTAACAATTAGATCTTCAACATTCATCTCCTTTCGCTTATACTTAGGTAGTTTTTGAAGTCTTTCCATCCCTTCAACATGGATCTCTTATAAAATCACTTCGAGCTCTTGAACTTAACTTATCATAGTTTTGGACTCAGCCATCTTGAAATTGAATAAGCGGCCTATTATAAATTTCTTGGCGACAACATCCTCAATTTTGTACTTTCGATCGAGAGACTCCTGAGGCTCCTTTATTGACTTTTTTTTACATAATTTTGACACAAGTATTCAGAATGTTTCCAAGTATCTATTGCATTGATGACTTATGCTACAACTTTAAGGTTGCAAATCAAAGTGCAGGTTGTCTCAAGTAGTAAACTCGAAAGTCCGGGGTCGAAAAATAGGAAATTGGAAGGAAATAAATTAGTCTATGAGTAGTCAATGGTTGGTGAAAATATGATTAAGAGGAACACTAGAGCATTGGGGATTTACTTCGGATAAATGAGTAAAAATTATTATTGATCTTTTATATAATTCATATGAAAATCAACTAGGGATTGATCTCATATGGAAGATAAAATATTGATTGCAAATATATTTAAAGATAGTTCTTCATAATTGTTTGAGAGAATGAAAGATCAAAGAACATTATTACAAATCCATCAAAGTTTCACCCCTAGCTCTAATAAAATGTTTAGAAATATATAATGAAATGTAACAAATAGAAAATGAAGGAAACTAGAATATGATGAAGAGGAACTGATGATATAAAATGCTTGGCCAAGCTCCCCTTTTATAGGCAAAGAAACATCCAACGTGCAACTTGTATTCTGGCCAGCTTGAAGATAGCTAGCATATGCAATTTTTTTGCCAATTTTCAGCGATTATGTGTAGATTGTTGCCACTTGAATTATTTTCTATTGATATAAATATCAGGCCTATTGGATCTTTACAACTCCAGATATGGCCAAAAAAATGATTACTGCTCACGGGTAAAAAAGCTGTACATAGCAAATAGCAACCTGGACTTTGAAAAGTATGACTGACTGGCTGTCTTATAATGCGAATTTGACTTATTGGAAAAAAAAAAGTTGTAGATACATATAAGATCTGAGGGTTTGAAGCATGAAGATCGAATATCAATATTCAATAAAAGATTTGAAGGTGTTGCTATCCGGATAAGAATTCAGATTCAAAGATTATCGCTTCAAGGGTAATTTCATAATCCTATTTGTGAATGATGATTGCTATAATGCAAATCTATAATTTATAAAAGATCCTGGGTTAAGTATTATTAAAAATATTGTTTTTATTGTCTAATTTCACTTCATTTTCTGACATCAGGGATGAGAAAGTTCTGTTCGAGGTCTTGTTCATTCCATTCTCAACTTCTGGTTGTGCATTTACTATGTATGATTTTTTTTTTTTTTAATAGCATTAGGTGCTAAATTTTTCTTCTCTTCAATTTACAAAACTAAGTTTTACTAGATAATGTGTGCATGTTTAAGTGTCTTTTAAGTAACTAATAAAAAGATCTTAGCCATCATAATTAAACCGAATTATATACAAATATGCAGTCCCTGTTTGGCTCCTATTTCTTAGAACTTATTTTTTTTTTAATTCACTTTCAACCACATGTTTCATAGACTAATAACTTTTATCAACTTTTCAATCAAATATTTCATCAAATAAAACGAAAATTTATTAAAAATCTAATATTTAACAGAATCAAACAGGGCTAAATTTGTGACCTTACTGCCAGTACTTCAGGTAATTAAGCAGACAGCATTGTTCAGTGTTTCTGTGAAGTGGGTAATACCGTTGACGATTATTTGAGTCATCAAGTCCTTATACAGTAAAATCTGACCTTTTAAGTTACTCGCAAATTCAATGCTTAAATGATCATATAATTGTCATTGTTTCCAGCTTAATTACCTCTTGCGTATTGTTTCTGAACGAGAAACAGGAGCTGAAACAGAACAAATTTGGAATTAGGGTCGAAAAGCAAAAAACAAAACGAAAGGTTCAACTTTACAATGCATAACCCAATCCACCCAGCTAGGAAGGAAATATTTGTGTCTTCAGTCTGTACTTACAATTACTATCTACTAAAATCTTTACATTGGCATCTGAATATTTCATATCTGAAAGTCATCAGATATCCTATGCTTCTCTTTTTGATTAGTCGTTTTCAACTCCTTGAGACTTTTTTAGCTTTGCCACGAGAACCCACATGTTTGCGAGTTCATTCTCTAGGTAGGCTTCTCTTTGTTTAGATTCTTCAACTTTCCTATGTAAATCAGCTTCTCTTTGATCCTTTTCAGCTAGAGCAGCTTCGTATGAAAGCTCTTTTTCACGGCTCAGGGCCATTTCTCTCTTCATATCTGAGGCCAACAGACTTTGCTCATGTCGTTTCACATGACTATCTCTCCTGCCATTCCTGTTGGAAATAGTGTTACGGCGCTGTGTCGGAGAATTTTTTTGCACTTCCAGCTCACCAGCTAATTTTTCATTGTGTTTCATCAGTTTTGCAACTTCCTCAGACAGAGCCTTTAACTCAACAGCAGCAGCAGATGCTAATCCCTTCGCATATGAACTCTCCTCTGCCAGTTTATTGTTGCGTAGCTCTAATTCCTCTTTCGATCCAATTAATAAAGTGACTCTCCCTTTTAGTTCTTCAATTTCATTTGCCTAATGGAGGTAAAAGCACGGGATTAGTTACACGGCCTCTTGAGTTGATTTATATCAGGTAATCTTCATTGTGCAGAAAAATTCCCATACACATGCATGTATCCACAATAAATAAACGAAAGACTCCTAATTCAGCAACCAACGCCTGATCTGACTTGAATCTATATATACTCGGAGTTCATATTCTAGAAATTCTTCTATTCATAAATTGTTGTGATAAGGCATTCAATAAATTGATCCATTAGTTGCACTCGTAACATCTAATATTATGAGATTTCATTCACAATTTGTTTAATGCCATTACTTAATTTATTTCAAATTTCAAAAATTTCAAAAGCAAAATTGTTCTACTAAAATAACTTGTCACAATCAGCAGATCAATGGTTGGACACAAATAGTTACATTATAAGCAAGTCATAACAAGGAAAAGAAGATGAAAGACGTTGTCTTTCATTCTTCATTTGGTTAAATCAAAATGAACAGTTCACTATCTGGAAGCAAAGCATAAGTCAGGCTGGTTTGCACAGGATTCAGAGGTCAGATGTAGTAGTCAATGAACAATGACTCATAGCCCCAATTGAGTTCAAAGAAACAAACACTAAGGTCATCAAAAACCTTGAGCAGCCGGGCTGACTATTTGAAATAAAAGGATATTGTTTAATCAAATCCCCTTAATACTATTTCCCTTCTTGTAGTATAGATCTGCTCCTATCCCATTTGCTTATCTCATAGTTTAGTTTTTTATAATTCTCCTTCCAAGTACAAATTTAGGCATGTTCATATGCCGACCATTTTCTGTGCAAGTTTTGCAATTTCATCATTTCATAGGAAATATTAATTTCAGACAGAGGAAAAGATGTGAATTAGAACCTGAGCTTGTAGAAGCAATGTTCCATTTCCATCTTTCAGGACAGCATTTTTTTTGCCCGTATGAAGTTCTACCTGCAAACCTTTGGTTTCCAAAAAGCGTTGTGAATGACTACTCAATGGGCTGCAGTTTTTCGGCTCTAAAGTATCAGAGAGCTGTTGTCTCAAGGTGGTAATTGTTTCCTGATACTCCTTACATTCCATGATCTAGCAAGAAAAAGTTATTTGTAACATCTCTAACCAGTATCATGAGAACAAAATTAACTCTTAATTAAATAATTGGTCGAAATGAGTACCTACCTTTTGGTTAAGTTGCTCTTGGATTATTCGATTATCTGCAGCTTTGACCTGGAAACAACAAAAGGCATATTGAATGTTCAGAAAAGATTTTGTAAAAGTTTCACACTATTTTCAGCTATTCTTCATTATATTTTCATTCAAATCTTAGTAAATTCAGGTTCAAGTTGCTTATGACCAAAACTAGGCAGGAAAGACTGATAGAGAAAAAACAATTTTCAATTTCAATTTTCAATCTCTAACCACGTTTTTAACACTAAATGACAACTCCGTTTTAAATTTCAGTTAGCATTGCAGCAACGAAGATTTTTAGCGCGGAAGTGTATGAAGGATGGCTCGTTCATACCCTATGAAGGCTTAAGATATAAATCTAAACCGAAATTGATTCAACACATGGTAATATCTCTATAAATACAAAAATAGAATAGGAAACCAATTCTATGGATAAAGGTGCAAGTTTCATTACCTCAAGTTCAAATGATTTCTCATTTAACTGTTCCATCAGTTCAGACACAGACTGCAACATTAAACAGCAATTACTACTGGAAGATGAATTTAAGCATGTAACTTAAAAAAATAATAAATAATAAAAAAATCCCCAGAATTACTTGTGATTCTTGGAAGAAGTCCTTTTTATCATGAGTAGAAACAATGCAATCTCCAATTTGCTTGCCCAGTGAAGCTATTTGTTCATTCTTTCTGCGGATTTCTTCATTCAATTTACTCATCTCCGCCTTAAATAAGAAATAAAGAAAGATAAAATTTAGGATATAACAGTAGAACTTTGAAATAAAGATGATCATGAAGAAATTTACCTGGGGATGCTCTTTCCTAGGATTTTGTGCAGCCTCCTCGGATAAACGTTTTAGAGCACTCGTGTGAAGCGCCACTTCACCAGACAAGATCTTTTGTTGTTCTCTCAGAAGGTCAATTTGATCCATAGTCTTCATGCTGGTCTAATAAACATTACATAACACAAGATAACTATATGGTCAATGAAAAAGTGAAATATTCAGAGTCCTTACTGCAATCCCATGCACCAAAATGCACATGAATTTCTGAAGCAAGCAATAGCTTTTACAACAACAGTTAAGGCGTGTTGGATGACCCCTTATGAGAACCCAAACATTTTAAGGCTTTAATCATGTTAATCAAAACTTAACAAGAACAATTATGAAACGTGCAACGACATGAGTGATTTGACTTCATTGCATCATATCCAAAACAAATGACGCAAATTTACAAATACAAGACAAAAAACATCACATTATCTCATACCAGTGGAGACTCTTGTCCCAAAAAGTCATCATCAGGGAGGACGTCTTCATTCTCTCTGGCATCAGATAAATGGACATCAGAAGGAGCAGTTTCTATGAGTAAAGAATGTTGATGTCTTGCTTCCATATGAATATTAATACTTTCAGCTTGAGGCGTTGAAGGTATACTTGTTGACTTCATTCCACTTGATTTGTCACTGGAGCTTGCAAAGGTCCCAGTACCACTATCTCGTTTCTGTAATACAAGGACACTCAAGAAGATCAGATACTGAAAGCACCATACTTTGACGAAATCTTAGACAAAGATTGACATATTTTTCCATGTAAACTCTTAGCTTTGGTAACTAGTCCCTAAATGCCATTAATAATTTTCACCAAGTAACATATTCCAGTTATTTAGGCATCAAAGAAAGATTTTTTATCCAAAAAAATCTTTACTACCTGCTGAACTTACAATTTTTAATAAATATAAATTCCTCCCAAATTCAAAACAGCTTAAGGTCTGAGATCAGACATTTTTTCATCAATAAACAAATTCCTCCCTCCTAGAACAATTAACTTTTAGACGAGGTGGTAACACTCATTTATCTACAATTGTATCTCCCATACTGGATTCATGTTTTAACCAGAGGTCTCACATGCGAAAATTTTCATAAATGAGTGGTAGTGAAATTAGAAATCAGAACAATTTTGTACACTGATACCATGTCTTGCAGAACCATCTTGTCCAAAAGCCAAAGCTTGAGTATGTAGATAGTGGAGAAATTAATTTATATTTATATCTTCAACATTATCTTCAAATGAAAACACAAAACCACAAAAAGAACTAATCAACACTTGAAAAGATGCCTAGAACTAGTTTCTGATTATTTATAAGCTGGAGTATAGCCTTTTCCAGTAAGTGAGACGAAGCCATACCCTTAACTTCAACCACTTGAGCAATCCATTCTTCTTGGGACGTTTCTCTTCTTTTAATGTGTCATCAGTATTTTCAGCACTGCCATCAAGAGAATCATTCAAGTCGTTTTCATCATCCAAGATCAGATCTCGCCTTCGATGTGGAAGATAAGCGAGCTGCAAGACACAGTACAGTCACATCAAACCAAAGTAATAAAATTGTTGTATGAGTTGGCCATTACATGATGTGCCATTATAAACCCTTACAGTGTATGCTAAATGAGTCGCTCCATTTCCATCCCAAATGAGAAGGGAAGAAAGGGAAAGGAGGGGGAGAAGACAAATTAGCAAGAAAACACATAAAAAATTTATGGCTTAATCAGTGCACCTCTTCTTCTCCGAAGGAATGCCTTCTCCTTGGTCCTGGGCGGTGAGGAATTCTTGATGATGGTGAAGCTTTTGTTGATACAAGAATCAATTTTGTAAGCTGCTGTATTCTGCCCATTAAAGCGGCTTTAGCTTCTTCCTCTTGTTCCAATCTAGATTGCAATCTGACTTGACCATCTTCTAGCTTCACAAATCAGGCCACCACAAGCATTGCATCAAGTGAGTAACAATCACTATGCGTGTCAGGAATAAATTGTAGCACAGAGGACCTAACATATCAGTAGATACTCCAAAAGAAGAAAACAAATAGCCATAAGATCGAAAGTTCAATAATTTAACCACCAGAAGTTACAAATTGTACCCAAATGCTCCTAGTGGTAACTTGGTGCAACATACAAAACTAATGGAGAGCACAGACAATGATTAATTCATGATCACAATGTCCATAGAAGGTAAGGAGTCAGAAAGCAGAACTGATTTTAAGAAAGGAACTCTTATCTTCTTGGTTGTAATGTACCGTCTTCAATCATAGGGTGAGTAAGACTGAATCCAGACATGAATCTTATATAGCTTCATCCTCTTCCAATTTTACTTTAATAGAATAGGCATTAGTCACCGACAAAGCTAACAATCTTATCACTAAACCACAGCTTTGATTCGAAAGCGCTATTATATAATGCTTTTACAAGATCCTTGTTTGATTTTTATTTTTTCAAAATCACTTTTCCTCAAACTCATTTTTATCCACACATTCTTCCAATAAAATAATTTTGCACGTAAACTCATGACTTTACTAGTTTTTAACCACACATCCACCAAATATAATTCACTTTTCACGAAATCACTTCTCAAAAAATCAAAATCAAACAAGGGCTTAGGATTCTTAGAATCTTTACAAACAAAGAAATTACAGAGAGAGAAGAAAAGGAATACAGTTTTCAAGGGTGATTTCCAAATCCTCATTAATTGCCAAAGGGGATTGAACCCTTGTAAGTGACAAAACTTGGCAAGTAATGCAGCATAAAATGTCACGAACCTTTATTTTTTTTAAATAAAGCCAAAATATTGCAAATTAAATCAGAACTCAGACTTCAAGGAAAACCTATTGAAGACATCTTCTCCAGGAATACCTTCTGTTTTAGGAGCAAAATATCATCTCCTCCGGTATCTTTTGCTTGTGGAACTGTGACTATGCCTCTTCTCAGTTTTTCTAGTTCTTCCTTCAAACAACGAATTTCAGTTTGGTATTTTTTGATAAGTGACTTCTCATCGATTATCTGCACAATCCGAAGCTTATTAAAGAATTGTCAACAAATGGCATTTTGTACTATGGATATCTCTAGAGATCATACCTTATTTTGCGATGCTTGAATTTCAATATGCTTTGCACGGTGTGCAAACTTCAATGTGTTGTGTGTTTCTTCTGAATTGCCTGAAGAGGGGGTAACAGTGCAGATTAGCTGGTTTTATAAAACAATATATTAACAGATTATACCTCTAATTTTACAAGTCATAAAGAACGTTTTGACAACCCATAATACAAACATTTGGATGTATTCAATTTCATTAAGTTGACAATACGTTATATATATAGAATTGAATGTT